ACTGCACACAACAATGGTAGTAGCACAAAGAAAAAAACCTATCTTTTGATAATTGCACCATGAATGGCGTATATTGCTGCGGCGTAATCGCGATGACCATCATAGAAAATAGTTAATCGTTGACGATGGGCATGCATTTCGAAATCATTATTCCAGATACAATATTTTTACATGTTCTCTGTTTCGGATTAAATAGAACATTTATAGCGTTTCTGAATTATAGAGAAAGAAAAAGATTTGATGAAAAAATTAAATAGTCACATTTGTGACTATTTCTAACCTTTATGTTCTCCTTTAGAAAAAGAAAAAAAATCACGTCTTATTTTATTCTTAGCTTCAAAAGTTCTGCATGTATTTATATAATTTTGCATCTGCAAGTGTTTGCAAAAGCTTTGCTGCAAAAGGATGCCTGCTCTATTCTCAACGATATTTTTGCTTTGTTATACTTGCGTGCGATTAAAATCATAGTCGACATCGACGTGCGCGAGAAAAAAGCGCAGCGACGAGAGACAAAAAGCTGCCTCTCGCAGAAATATTTTTTTACCGTCAGCGATCATACTCTAATTCGTTTTAGATCCGGCTAGAACCTAGACGTAGGTGTGACCGTAATGCAGTCGAGGAAGGCTCCGCACCGGAGGCGTTTCGGAAGCAAGGAGCAAGATCTCTATTGCTATATGACACACAGCCCTAAATCGCTTATACCTTATCCTGTTAGCAAAACAGATACCAATTATGATATTGTGTAAATTTCTAAATTAATTAACAGTGAATATATTCTCATCTTCATCTGTTACATATTCATCTTCATAAGTAAGAGATAACGTTTAAATTTTTAATTCATGTTTTCTCATCTTTTTTTTGAATTTCCCACAGAAATAATGATATAATATTCTACTCTATGTCTACAGGATTTCCATTTATTTAAGAGAGAAAAAATGAAATATATACACAAAATCAAATATAATAACCCTGGTAAGAATAAAAATCGGAGCATAAATTGAATATAAGGCAAGAATAATAGAAGTATAAATGAAGTTTCTAGGGAGCGACAGTTGAAGTAATAATGTTTCAATTTTCGTTCCCTAGAAGCTTCGTTTATGCTTCTGTTACTCTCCCCTTATACTAATGCTCCGATTTTTCACCAGGAAAAATCAGAATAAGTAATTTAAAAAAAACATAGAATTCTTAATTAATACTTTATGTAATATTTGTCTTACAATCGTCTGCACGGGATTAAGGTAACAAAGTAAATGACACCAAGGGCCGAAAGAGAAATTGGCTGATCGAAATCCTTTTTTTTCTTATTATGTAATCATTGATCGCGCGAAATCCTTGGTTCCACCTCAGCAAGAGCATTGAAGAAAGAGCCGGTCAGAGCCCTCCAAAGAGTCGCGTCCCAGGAACGTGTATGTATAACCGCGAGAGAGCGCTTAATCGATGTGTCATTATATCGACGGCTCCTCCGAAACACTTGTAAATAATGAAGAATCGCGTTGAATGAAGAGAACCGCGAGAGTGCGAGTATGTGTGCGTGTGTGTGTGTGTGTGTGTGTGTGTGCATGTATGAGAGTGCGAGCGAGACGGACACATATACAGCGAATGTGTACGAATAATTGTATAAAGACTGATTAGATTAGCCTTGGTATTTATTCGAATTTAATGATTAAACGCTACCGCTTTGCGCGCGCCCTAAGAAAAAAATATTCACGGAGCACGATGCCAAAGGTATTCCCTGATGAACTTCGTTTTTCCGTCAGAGTATCGGTATATCAATACTCGACGGCGTCTCGTTGATTACAATCGAAAGGGATTTCCTTTCCATTGTTACAATTTGTTTTTCTGCTCCGAAGCGAGAATTCGACTTCGCGCAATTTTTTCCGACTCCTGAAAAATCTATGCTGGCCTAAAGTTTTGGAGAATATTCTTTTCCCTTCACAAAATTTTCGCTTTGTATCACTACGTCGTTCAGTTGCACATGTATCTTCGAATGCGACCTCGACAGAGTACTAATTATGTAATTTTTTCCTTAGGGCGGAAATGTAAAGTGAAAAATTTTTCCATTACCTTCGATGATAAAAATTTTTATTTTTCATATTTCCGCCTTAGGGAAAAAATTAGATAATCGTTACTCAGATTTGGAAATAAAAGAGTGAAGGCTGGAGGACGATACATGAAGATATACAACATGTTTCGAACGAATCTGTTATTCCTTGCGCACGCTTTAATTCCGACACTTTAGTAATTGACGATACGTTTTGACACATCGTGCTCGTATGAACGCAGCAAAGGCAGAGGGAAGAATGACACGCGCGATTATTAACAGCGACATTATTATCGTCACAACGTATCAATATTATTCAATGCATCGTATAAACCAATAAACTAAATGTAAACTTTGTATATTCATTTACTAAGAGAATAAAAGTAAATTATTCGACAAACAGTTTGGTTACGCTCAATTCTCCTCGATTTCCCCAATCAATTTTGAAAACAGGAATTAAAAAGATCTGAAAAAAATTAATTTTATTTTCTGTATGACATATTTATTGGCAAATAGCAAATATTTTCATCAATAAATCACAATAAATTATGTTATAAAATGTTGTAATTATTATCTTATTTAATATTCATAAATTTTCCATTAGTGCCCGTGCTCTTTTCAATTCTGAAAAATAAAAATATTAATATCTTTTATTATAAAATGTATAACATCCGAGCACGCGTGTGTATGTGTATGTATGTTATGAAGTTAAAAATAGTATAATAAATTTCTTGAAACAAAGTAATCAATAAAAGTTCTATCTACTAACCACTTCTATAAATTTTTAGAATTTACCTTTTAATAAAACTTGCACATCATCTTTAGAGATATTTATAGTGGAGTCTTCCTCTTTTCCGTCTATTTTCTTCAATTTTAATGTCATAGCAGAAACAGGTGACGAGCTATCGCAAGGTAGTACTTCGATGGAGGACAAGCGACTAACTACGAATGTAAGTTAGAAATAAATTTTTGCATAAACAAAACATTTGAATCGCATAATCGAGAAACATAAATAATATATAAATCCATAATTTTTACTTGATACTTTGATGAACTAAGATTTTTCGGCAAGTTAAATTTGTGTAATATTAACCTACTTTTTAATTCTATAAAAATATAGAGCTTGCACCTCTTAAAGATTGAGATGAAAGAACAGCCGTGATCTGAGGACAGTGATCTGTGTGAAGTCTTGCTACAGCTGTGCTATGTTCCCGCGGAAGCCCCAATTGTTGCAGTTCGCTGCTCAAATCAGCTGCGGAAACGCCATATCGGGCGGAAGATGTGAATATCAATTCGAGGGCGACTACCATTGCCTTTGCATCACTTACATCTAAATAAAATAAATCTCAACATTTTTTTTCTTTTATCAATTATTTATCACATTTTATTTGATTATTGGATTATAATAATATATATATAAAATAATATAATATGAAATTACGCACCAAGTTTGGCATCTTGTGTGATTTTTTTAATTTTTTCTTCCTAAAAAATTTAATATATTACAATTAAGGATAATTGTCATAAATTTGATATAAAAAAATTTGTAGCTAAAATTTGTATAATTTAAATACTTCAATATTTATTTTATTTTATTTTATATTATACAATCAACTGATTGATATAAATTTATATCCAAGTTAAAGGATATTCAGTTTAATTAGAAAGAAAGTATTGGTATATTGCCACAAGTTTTAAAATAATGACTTTTATTTAAAATAATTTTTTTTGTTAGTTTTTGTTTTGTAACGTTTGCAATAAAAATAAATAATTTTAAATCAAAAATTTTTAACAATTTTTAACAAGATCACGATATTACTTACATCAAGTTCTCCTTCGGTCAAGTATTTAGCCACTGCTTGACCTAGCATTTTCATTTTAATTGAAGTCTAGAAATAAAATATTTTGTATGTATTTTTCCAAAAACTATCTCAATGAGGGGAGGGCATGACGTTGGAATAATCGATTTTAATCAAATTTGATGAGAATGTAGTACAATTCTAAAAATCGATGTGTGCTCTGAGTAAAACAGTACTAAAAAGTGAGCCAACATCATCCCCTGTTAATATTTTGATATATACAGGATATCCGCGTATATGTGTCATCCCTTTTCATCTCGTAAACTAACAGAGACAAACTAATAAATTTAATATCAAATTAAATGATTCTAACTAAATTCCATTGTAAACATAATGATCATGCAAACAATTATTCATGTTTTGCATCCGACAGTGAGTGTAGTTTTTTTACCATTACTTTTATCTTTATTTTTTAATTATATATTTATTCATGCATCTAACGTAAGTTTCACATAAAAAACTAATAAGTTTAGTCGAAACTTTTTATTACAAATCTCATATTTTAATATATTAATTTTAATTCCAACTCTAATTTTAAATTATATACTAACTTTCTTCTTCCTTCTGATTCTATTGTAAATTTTAATATAATATAATTACGATAATAAGTATTGTAGTATATAGAAATAAATCCTTCAGAGAGAAAAAAAAATTGAGCAATACGCAATACCATTCGCGAAAGTGTATTGATTTCCGCCAGCAACCAGTCTGGACAGTCGCCATCGCCGAGAAATCTAAATCGCTGGTACAGATAGATTTGAAAATGTTTAGATTAAATAATATTGGGTCATCTAAAAAGTATCTGCGGTATTTTTGTCACTAGATATATGACCATCAACACACATCTAGTGACAAAAAACCGTGGATACTTTTTAGATGACCCAATATATGTATCTAATAGTTTATTAATAATTAAATTTCAAATTTGTAATGAATATATACAAAAATTTGAGTAATAATTAGAAAATATGTAAATTTATTTACATTTTAAAAGCTTATAACAGATACTTTAAACAAATTTATTTTTAAAATATTTAATTTATTTAAAATATCATAAAAACATGAAATAATTCTTGCATCATAACATTCTTTCTCTTACCATTTTTGATAATTTCTTAATTTGTGCTCACACTAACTCCGTTCCTTTCACCTAAAAATCACGCACAAGTTTTAGAAATTATAATGAATATATTAGAGCTCTCTCTCTCTCTCTCTCTCTCTCTCTCTCTGTAATAAAAATCCTACTATTTCATACAAGTAACAAGGGAATTTTCCAGCTAAAATAAATTAAAAAATAAAAAGCAATCTACGAAAAAGTCACAATCATTTCTCCTACATTTATAATATAATTATTTATCAAATTATCAAATTCTGAGTCCCATGTCGATTTACTTTATACAGTTTGAGAAAACGTTTAATCAACTTGTAATTCACCATCGCAACTTGGTATTCAATCCTCGTGCAACCATGGCGATATCTTATGTTTACTGCGGGTCTCAGGGCGGAAAACAGAGTGACATTTTTTGTACCGCGCTGCTTCTACGCTACTTCGATAATTTTTCTAACAATAAGTATCATAACGTTACGATAGCGAAGCGAGCAGACATGGACGTCAGAATATTTACACTCGTTGGCGAAGTAAATTGACGTGGGTATCCCCGCGTCAGATGAACGAATTCCCCATGCAATCCGCCTAATCTTTCGACCGCGACTAGGATGGCCCACGGGAGTTTCGACTAGTGGACATAAATATCCGGACAAGAGTCGACTCACTGCCATTCTAGTCGAAGAACTCGTGAACGTCGGAGAAACTTGCCAACAGTTGAACACCGCAACAGGTAAGGAGTGCTGATAAGTTAAAAACAGCGAATTCTTCCATGATCTTGCGGTCTTCACTAAATCGTGATTTCATACAAAATATACATACACTAAAAATAATTTTTAATAGATTTTCTATAATAAGCCATTACTTGAATTTTAAATCTTAAGCCACAAAAAATTGATCAACCATAGTCAAATGTGAGAAGGACAAATCAACTTTTTTTATAATATATAGATGAAACTAACAATCAATCAATTTTTTCAATTGTTTTCAATTTTTTTAGAATTTATTTGTCCCGAAATTTTTATATTAAAATCTAAAAAATTCATCAACTAATTATAATAAAATACTTTATATACTACTTTTTATTAATTAATGAGATAGGATAAAAAAATTAGTTATTTATATGATTGACGTCAATATTTATAATGCTCTTATTAATTACACATTAATTAGATATTAACTGTTAAATATTTTCATATAATAATTATCTTTTATAATGTTTTCTTATTTATAATATAGAAATTCTAATGGAATTGATAAAATTCCTATAATAAAATTATCACAGCTTTTTTACATTGTAGTCTTTTTACATTTAGTACATTGTACTAAATTATAATATTGAGTGAAATGTAAGCTGTATATAAATCTTTTATCTTTTAGCAATGAAGAAAATATTGCTGGCCACAACTTTACTGTTGGTATGCGAAAATATTTTGGTAAGTAAAATATTGTTTGTAGCCATTTTAACAAATAATATAATTGTTTTTTGAAAAATAGATAGAAACTTCGTACTAAAATGCTCCATATAAACTTCAATAAAATAAAGAAAAAATTTCCAAAATAATGAATTGTTCATCGTTTGCTATAATTGATTAAAATTTAGTAATAATGTGCGTAAGAAATTGATTTTATATTTTAAGATGGAAAACAGCCCATGTCGTCTTTTAGAGACGGCATGGCTTTGTGACAACCAAGTATGGAACAGACAAATAAAGCGAATACCACGGGCAGTTATTCCTTCCGAAACAGAAGAATCCTTAAATTATGACGACAACAAACAGTTTCCTCGAATTTCGGACACACGATTCATTAGCGAATCAAGAAAACTGCCCCCAATGGCAATCATCAGGTAGTAAAACAAATAAAATTTACAATGGTAGTCGTTTCTGCACTAAAAATTTACATTAAAAATTTAAATATAAATTCTACTTAATATATACATATCTAAATTTCTAATGTATCATTCATGTATTATCACAATAACCAAATATCATAAATTCGCACAGCACACATCAATGTAAAAATGAAGGATATTTTTATATCAACATTTAATAAATATAGAAAAATAAAATTTATCTATTTTTTTATTATGCTTTATTTATTAAATAATATAACAGATTTGTGATTTCAAATTTCTCTTATTAATATAAAAACAAATATAATAAAATTTTCAATAAAAGAAGATCGACTCACGAAATTAATTTACAAAATTGTTCCATTTGTAATTAGAAAAGTATGCACAATAAATAAAATATTAAAATAAGAATATTATAATTTAATTACAGACGGCATGATTTGGCACGATTTGATTTATCTTCCGATAAATCAAAACTTGACAGCGCCAAACCAAGAGTTTTAATCTCCATCGGCATACAAGAAGAGAAGAACGCCGGTTACGATCTACAAGAAAATTGCTCGACAAGAAAAAACTATTGTAAACAAAACTGGCAAGTTCAACAACCATTCTACGTAGAGGAACCAAGGTGGGTTGACATCGATGTTGATTATATAGATTCTTCGAGTATAGATAATAGTGATCCTTACGTATTAACACGAGGAAAGAAAATTTATAGAATTAACAATCTGGAACAAGCAAGGAAAACTATAGAAGCGACTCTCGATTATCCAAATAAAAATAAAAAACTATTGATAAAAAGTCGAGTGAGAAGATTTGCTGAGACGAACGAAGGATCTCAGAATAAAATAGCCGATGAAAAGAATAATCGGATAAAAGAAAAAAATCGTTATGATTCTTTTGAAGATATAGACAGAGATGCAAATACTGCGATCATCGAAATAGAAAATACATTTGAGAAACCTCTCAAAATTGATAAATCATCAGAAGATGAAAAGACGGAGAGTACAAATTATGTTTTTAATAAAAAATATGAAAAAGCTGATTTAAAGAATTTAGCGAAAAGATCATCGCGTGATTTCACAAAACAAAATCAAATTTCCAAAAATAATCGCGGTACAATCATGAAATTTATTAAGCAAAAAGAGAAGATACAGGGCGAAGATATTCTTAATGATACTGGCAGTAAAATTGAGAAAATCAATCAAATAAAAAGATTTAATAATAGGAAAAGTCATTTTGCTATTAACAATATAAATAAGTTTATATTATTGAAAAATCAAGAACTTCCTAAAATCCGTAAAAAACGAGAGATCTATGACACTAATTTTAAGAAAAATGTCGAAAAAAATGAAACTGAAACATACGAGCGAATGAAGAATAAATATTATGTTGAAAAGCTGAATGATTTAGGTATATCCAATAATCGTTTTATTTTATTTCAAAATAAAGATTTGATTAACGGCGGAACAGAAGGCTTGAATAAAATAGATACAGATCGTAATAAATTCATCGAAAAAACATGGAAACTTCATTATGCACATCATAAGAAATTAGAAGAAAGTGAAAAACAAGCAAAAAATAAGGAAAATAAATCTGAAATTAATAATAATATTGGAATAACAGATTCACAATTAATAAACGAGTACAATTCGAAAAATTCCGAAAGAAAGATTTCAAATGATCGAGAAAAGCGTAATATTTGCAAAGATTGTCAGATTACATCGGAGTTCCAAGAAAACGAAAGATTAAAGGAAATTGAGAAGAAAATTCAAATGTCTTTAGAGCGAAGAGACAAACACAGCGATATTTTAGAACATCTAAGCCAAAGTGAACCTTATATTATTTCCCGAGGTAAAAAAACGTTGCAAAATTTCGAGATGAAGGATCTTTTCTCGTCAAATCCACGAAATATGAACGATGAGAATCGCGCTAAAATGATAAACCCGATTGCGAAGAGTCTAAGAACGCTATTGATGGAGATATTTAGATGTAACAATGATAACTTCAACATTAAAATGAATGAATTGTCAAACCAGCGACTATTACCGAGAGATCGACGCAGTACGCTCGATGAAATCTTGGCAGCGTATGATCCATACTACGTGGCCAGAGGAAAACGAATGAACCAAAATCAGAAAAATGTTTTATTCAAAACAGATACGAGGCAATAAGCCATAAAAGATATGTTCGGCAAGATATAACTGTTAGCTTTATTCATCAAGACATAATAATCAAGACACAAATAGCGCTCCAATGAGAAGAGCAAAAAGTTGGAAATATCTGCCCAATTTATTCGACTGATTTGAGCTTAAATTTGCTTTTAATTGTGACGAAAATATAGCAATGATTTTTTTCTCAATTAGCATACTAAAGCATGCAATGATTGTTGCAAAATATATCTGGAAATAAAAATAGTGTTATTTAAAAATTATTATTTATCAAAATCGATATAGTAATAAAAAGCTTGCAGGTACTTTCATTTTACAAAATTTACAAAAAACTTCAGAAAAATTTATATATATGGTAAAAAGTAATGTTATATAACAGCATTAGCTGACAATATATTAAAAATATTTCGATAACAGTATTAATAAAACAAACGACATTTATTAAAAATAAAAACATTTATTAAAAATAAAAACATTATAAATTTGTTTTATTAAAGCTCCTCTTTACTCGCTATTAATATCTGAAATTATGCTGTCAGAAGCGAGAAAATATATAATAAAATATATTATAATATGGAAAGTATATTTCAGTAACACTTATAATTGTTAGAATCAACTTATAAAATATACCGAAAGTTCTCCGCTTGTTTTGATAAATAATAAATGACCATATATCTGGAAATAAATTCCGGTAAAAAGTTTTTTATGCATGAATACGTATAAATACGTATAAACATACATAAATATTCATAAATATTCATGCATAATCATACACGAAATATATCTATACATGTTCATATATCCCTTTTTTTCTTTTGTAAAATTATTTTTTAATGTAATAGAAATAATAATAGTAATGTAAAAACACAAAAAATAATTAAAGGGATAATTTTCGCATTGTGCGTTTCAGAAAATAAACAAGTTTGGAAAAATGTAAAAAAAAATTGTTCATATACAATTATGTATAATTTTATTATATATATAATTATACATAAATAATTTTTTATATTTCTTGCAACTTGATTTTTTTCTAAATCAAATAATACGAAAATTTATCCTTTTAATTATTTTTAATGTTTTCACATTATTATTTTATTTTTACTACACTAAAAATTTTACAAAAGAGAGAGAGAGAGAGAGAGAGAGAGAGAGAGAGAGAGAGAGAGAGAGAGAGAGAGGGATGAACATGTTGGACATATTTCATATACATGTTTATGAATATTTATGTATGTTTATACATGTTTATACATATTCATGCATGAAAAATTTTTTACCGTATTATACATAATTACAAACAAAATTAACTATAATAAACTGTTATTTTAATAATACGGAAATAAATATAAATTAATAATTTCTGCATACTTTATAAATTTATTCTATCGTTTGTAAATGTTATTTTACTTAAAAAACATTTCTATTCAAATATATGGCCTATTTTTTCATCGAAGAACTCTCTGAATTTATTGCATTGATGTGCATCAGTTTAAAGAATTCATCAATAAAAAATAGATTTATAATTTACAAGAATTTTTATAGTGTGTCTTCTGTGATGGGTAAATAGGTGATAAGTACATAGGAGTGGTGAGTAAACAGAAGTATTAATATTATTACTAAATTAAGAAAATTATTTTTTCAATTTGACTGCTGTTAACTAATGTTATTAATGCAACATCTTTTTTTCCATATACAAATAGCAATTACATTCGTATTTGTATATAATTTATTGTATTTAAATTTGGTAATTCATTTATTATACATGTATAAGCATCAACAAATTCGAAATATATCTATACAAAAGATGCATGAAGAAAATGACTTTCAATTGTAAATTATAAAAATGTAATTTGTAAACTATATTAAGAAAATGAAATAAATATAAATATTATAGGAGTTAGAATTAGAACATGTAGTCAATATGTAAAATGTTCTCCAACGTTCTATTCTACGAGAATAGATTTTTGTAATATCGCTTGTTTAACTTTTTAGCTTATTGTTGTAATTAATGCGATTTAGATGCTTTAGATTTTAGATTGTTTGTGAATTAATAAATTAAATAATTGGCAAAAGCTATTATATATCTCGTCTGAATATAACATTAGCTACACATATATAAAAATAAGATATATAAGACTGAAGATTATTTTATACTCCTGTCTCTATTATATACTATGCCAATTTCTATTAACAATGTTTATGCTATTCTCTAATTTCTTTTCTTTTTAATTGTAAATTATAACCTATAAAATACAACACTGTTGGTAAAATATCTAATTGTTTCGTGAATTGTGAATTATTCTATGTGACAATCTGTTAAATTACATCATCATAACAATATTTATTTGCAAAAATAGTAGAAAGCAAAAATATATACCTGATAAATAATGATATCTGTGAAAATAAACACTGATTGACGTTTACAAAAGTGAAGAGGTAGGACTCGACTGTCTCACTTAGTCTCATTGCTGACTCTGACATTGCGAGTCGATAAGTTAGAATACATTGAGACCGATAAAAACATCTCCTTCAATCCGCTGTCGGTGAAACTTAATTCGTTCCTGCTCATTTACATTGTCAATGTTTAATTTGCAATAAAAGTAATATAAAAAAGAACTCTACAAACAGTATGAATCCAACTTCAAAGTTTATTTCACATTTAATTGTAGTATCGCAGAGAGAAATCTAAGGACATGTCTAGATTCCTGTAACCTGTTACCACAAAATGCTCCAGCGCATTACTGCCCTCTGAAGAAGTGGATGCAACTACACAACAATATTCATTTTCTTTTGCGGTGCTTCTGAAAATGAATCGCTGAAATCATCGAAATCTCTATCACCGATAAGATACTATTAAAAGAATTTAAAGGGAGCTTTCCAGCAGAGGCACAAATCGAGACACAAAAGTCATTCTTTGTTTCTTATTGATTATCGAACAAGATGACTCTTGTGTCAATTTCCCAGTCAGAAATGATAATGGAATCGACGTCGATTTGATGCTTTCGAATGTAAATGAGCAGGAACGAATTAAGTTTCACCGACAGCGGATTGAAGGAGATGTTTTTATCGGTCTCAATGTATTCTAACTTATCGACTCGCAATGTCAGAGTCAGCAATGAGACTAAGTGAGACAGTCGAGTCCTACCTCTTCACTTTTGTAAACGTCGAATCGATATCGATTCGATAAAATAAATTAACAAATAACAGGGCTAATGAGAATTAGTGCGGATAATCAAGCGAAAGTATTGTAGATTTAATCTATCAAACTTGCGATTATCCGCACTATCTCTCATTAGCCATGTTGTTTTTTTTTTATATATTCTAAATAATTCTCAAAATCTCAGAAAAATAAAATATTCGATTAAAAATAAGTCTAAATTAATAAATCTTCATATCAACAACGTTTTGATTTCAAGAGTCTCGAATATTACAAAACTAGTTTAAATTTCTTAATATAAATTTTATAATGTAATCAACAAAACTTTAATTTAATAATAAATGACTGAAAATTACTAAATCGATAATTATTCGATAAAATTCAAGATATGAAAAGACAAAAATTGTTTATTTTCTTCTCATAGAGCTCTAAGAATTTTTTTAGAATTTTTTCAAAATTTTTTAATACCTATTTTCTCATGTTGATAAAAATGAGAAAATGCAGTACTAAAAAGTTGATAAAAAATTCTGAAAAAATTCATAGAATTCTATGAGAAAAAAATAAACAATTTTCATCTTTTGCAGTTTTTTTTGTAAAATTGATAGTATTTGAGTAAAAAATTATTGAAGACTAATTTTTAGTAATTAATATCTTGTTACTATTGTGAAAATTGCAAAATGAGTAGAGGACTTTCCGTCTCAGTTTAGTCACAATATGTTCGCTCTACATGTCCACAAACTCCGAACAATTATCGGTATAACAACATCGGTATACAATACCTTGTATAGGATAGATGGAAAAAATAATGAAATAATATTTGTTATATTGTAACAAACATTTTTCAATATTATATTATCTACAGATAACAATTTTATTTAGTCTAATTATTTTTTATACATATTTTTTATTACAATATATTTTTCATTTTATATATTTCATATAAAAAAATATCAATCTCATTCTTTCTATTGATCATTGTAAAACCTTGCAATGTTAATTACAATATATGAATCGATATTGTTAATTGGATGAGAAGTATAATCACTTGCAAAGTTCAAATCAGATAAGTAATTTATTTGATACAATAATTTTGTAATGTTACACTTACTCACTGAGATGATTTTCAGTTATATTGTCACAAGTGTCGATTATCAAATGAACGCTTTTACAACTCAATCTTGACTCTCCGTCTTTACCCGTTTCGTCTTTATTCTTACTTTTTATTATCTCACATATGTACTAATGATCCTCGATCACGTCGTGTCCGTTAAATATAAAATTACAAATAAATAAATTTCTAAATACATAAATTCCTACAATCATAAAATATAAATATCATCAGCAAACTTAAATAAAAGTAACTAAAAAAATCAGTCTTTAACATTTTTTTATTTTTATCTCTTATACTTTCTTTATTTCTATATCACTTTATTTTCTTTATCTTTATATTTTCAAGAAATTATACTATATATATTTCTCAATAATAAAAATTCAAATTTTAATTCAATTTTAATATTGATCACAGAGAGACAATATTATTAATAAATTATTAATATAATTATTAATAAAATTATTAATAATATTATTAATATAATTAATAATATTATTAATATAATTATTATTAACAAATTTATTTATTACAATATTTCTAATTCTTCAAAAAATTCTTCGTATACAATGTATACATACGAGAGCACTTTGTATACGCACTAAATCAAACTTGTATGCGCAATAAATTCAATAATAAGAATTATCCAAGATTAAGTTTACCCCAGAGACTTATAGAAGTCTGTGCTTTATCCTAATCTGTTCTAACTTATCCATTTCAAGGCAACGGATTTGTGGAATAC